CACAGGTGAGAAATGGCACATCAGAGTGTAGTCAAAATAGCAGAATTTATTAAAGAGGAAGAATACACAATCTAGGAGAGGCTGTGGCAGTTAGCTTTTGCCTGAGTCCATGAGAAGAGCAAGATAATACATTTAAAATTATGTAAATAGTATAATTATTTTAAAAAAGCAATTTAACAAGTTAAAAAAAGACATATTGGAGCTGGTTAAAATACTTTCAAATGACAAAACAGCAGTTGTTGTGAACATATAATGGGGGGGAAGAGCCATGTAGAATGCCTTGACTTCACTGAATGCAATAAAATGATAAAAGTCACTTTCACATACATTTCATCTCTTAAGTCTTTTCTAACTCATTTCTACATTACTCTGTAATTTTTTAAAAAGTAAATGATCAGTTGGAAAATTTGCATTTACAACTTTGGTTGTTGACATATTTTCTCTCCGAAATGCACATCTAAAAGCACATTTAAGGGCATTTTGCTACTTTTCTTTTGAGCTACAAACTGTGACGAAAGTGTGAAAGCTGAAGGAATGCTTTCTGTTCTGCACGTTAATCTGCTAGACCAAATGACTCAAGCATGAAGCAATGTTTTATTGAAAAGAGAGCTTCCTGAGGTGGGCAATGACATCTGCTAGACATTTTGGACCACGGACTACAATATTTCTAGACCACATAGGGTTGTTGGATTGAAAACCGGAGATGGCCCCTGTGTCTTGAATGGTTGCATCTAAGAAGGAATCTCAGCAGGTGCACCTTATTATATGGTTGTATGCAAGTGATATATACTTTATTAAAGGTAGGGGAGCTGTCTCCAGTTTGCAATCTGCCATCCCATTGCCTATGCTGACTGCAGCTTGTCAAGGTTAAAGCCCTAAGCATCCAGAGGACACCAGACTGCCCACTTCTCGGCAATTGGTGAGCCTGCTCTGTCTGGTCAAAAATAATACCTCTTCCCACACTCTTCAGATCTTTTCATTGCTCATCAAAAGTGTCCAGAGGGTTGGTTCAAAGGAAGATCAAAGTGCATACTAAGGTCCCTTCCACACAGCTGAATAAGATCCCCATTTCTGCTTTGAACTGAAATATATAGCAGTGTGGACCCAGATAACCCAGTTTAAAGTAGATTTTGTGGGATTTTCTGTTTTGATGTTCTGGATTATATGGCTGTGTGGAAGGGCCCTAAGCCATAGGTGTATAGTGACCAGGCTAACTGCAAAACTCTCGAAGTATTGATTTAAAAAGTCACCCTCCCGAATTCTTCTCAAGGCCAACTAAGGGAATTGATTTTCTGCCTTGATATCTTGGGTTACATGGCTGTGTGGAAGGGCACATCAGAGTGTAGTCAAAATCGCAAAATTTATTAAAGAGGAAGACTAAATGACACAAAACATTGTTTAGTTTGTTTTCCAGTATGACTGTCAAATGAACCAGTATAAGCACCGGGATTATGTGCAGCTGCCTGGGAGTCAGCTGCATTAAGATCACTACTGACCGAAAGGTCATGAGTTCAAAGCCAGCCCGGGTTGGAGTGAGCTTCTGACCAATTTGTGCAGCTTGCTCTTGACCTTTGCAGCCCGAAAGACAGTTGCATCAGTCAAGTAGGAAATTTAGATACTGCTTATGCGAGGAGGCTAATTTACGATGCCATAAAAATCTCCAATAAGCATGCAAAGAATGAGGAAGTACTTTATCAGCGTCACAAATGGACGGTGAAGCAACAGCTCCCCTGGTGGCCAGAATACCCTCATGAAAAAGCTGGAATGTTAAATAGCCTCTGTGTGCCTGTGTATATATGTTGTGTGTCTATGGCATTGAATATTTGCCATGTATATGTACATTGCAGTCCATCCTGAGTCCCCTGCAGGGTGAGAAGGGCGGAATATAAATACTGTAAATAAATAAATAATATTGCATAGTGAGTTGGATGTTGGACTAGAACTCAGTTTGACTAAGAAAATGTACTTAGTGACTTTGAGCAAGTTACTCTCGCTCAGCCTCAGGGCCCTTCCACACATCCCTATATCCCAGAATATCAAGGCAGAAAATCCCACAATATCTGCTTTAAATTGGTTTATCTGAGTCCACACTCAGATAATTTGGGATTTTCTGCCTTGATATTCTGGGATATAAGGCTGTGTGGAAGGGTCCTAAATTGTTTTCCTACACGAGGGAGAATCCCACATGCACCTCTCTGCGTTCTATTACTGGCAACAAAATTACATTAATAACTAATAACATATCTTACAATTTGTGATTATAATTTGTAGCCAGAAACTTCTACCTGGGATGTCTGCTTCCTTTTGCCTAACAATAGAAGTGGCTCTGGGGCAAAATGTTAGTAATTAATAGTTATGGATTGATTTCTGCAGGTGGCAATTGAGTTTTGCCTGTAATCCACTTGGGTGGGCTAAAGGGTGGGGATAGACGTGGGTTGTCTCTGGCTCTCAAATGAAAGTGATTATTTTAAAATCCCAGCTTTGAATAGGAACCAAAACCCACATAATCCAACCTCTTGCCCCGAAACTCATCTGCAACCTGCGGAAGTTGGTCTCTGTAGTCCACATCACAGCTTGAAATGTTTTGTGGGCCCATTCCTATCTGTGAGTTAACTATCTCTACTGGAGAGTGGTTTCTGACTTTCTTTTTCTCTAAATCAGGGCATCTTTGAATATTATAAAAATTTCTATAATTTCTGTGCTGTTCCATTAGGAACAACTTGATTTCTTGGTAAAAAGGACCTTGGTTTTGGAAAGGCATCACTTTTTAGACATCATAACCTTTTTGGAAAACCAGAATCTCCATAACTTTTTTGAGAAAAATGGCATTCACAACCATTTGAAAATCATAACCTTTTGTAAAAGTATGATCTTCCAGAGAAGAGCCAAAAACTAGTTTGAGTATGATCTGGTCCCCCCGTTATGATCTGGTCATTGACCGTAATGTGTTGTCGAAGGCTTTCATGGCCGGAATCACTGGGTTGTTGTAAGTTTTTTTGGGCTATATGGCCATGTTCTAGAGGCATTCTCTCCTGACGTTTTTCCTGCATCTGTGGCAAGCATCCTCAGAGGTAGTGAGGTCTGTTGGAACTAGGAAAAAGGGTTTATATATCTGTGGAATGACCAGGGTGGGCCAAAGAACTCTTGTCTGCTGGAGCTAGGTGTGAATGTTTCAACTGACTACCTTGATTAGCATTTGATGGGCTGGCAGTACCTGGGGCAATCTTTTGTTGAGAATTGATTTGATGTCCCCGATTGTTTCCTCTCTGTTGTTTTGCTGTTGTAATTTTAGAGTTTTTTAATACTGATAGCCAGATTTTGTTCATTTTCATTGTTTCCTCCTTTCTGTTGAAATGGCCCACATGCTTGTGAATTTCCCTAGGCACTGCCAAGGGAAAAAACATTACCCCAGGCACTGCCAGGCCATCAAATGCTAATCAAGGTGGTCAGTTGAAACATTCACACCTAGCTCCAACAGACAAAAATTCTTTGGCCCACCCTGGTCATTCCACAGATATATAAACCCATTTTCCTAGTTCCAACAGATCTCACTACCTCTGAGGATGCTTGCCATAGATGCAGGCGAAACGTCAGGAGAGAATGCCTCTAGAACATGGCCATATAGCCCAAAAAAAACCTACAACAACCTGACCATAATAAAGTTTACTTATTTGCTTACTTGTTTGAGTAAAATCTCCTCTTCAGTGGTATATATCCACATGTACTTATGCAAGGCAATTTGGTTTTCAGTTGTTAGACTGATAACCTAGATGTCTCTGATCAGAAATTATGCCAATGCACAAAATATAACAGTTCTTCAGAAGTGTTCTTTTCAGTGCCAAAAAACATCTACTCTCCCATTAAAATCTTGTTTCTATATTATGCTCTCAAGAGCAAAAATAAAGTAAACTTTGTTAAAAGTAACATAGCACAATCTTCATGTATTCAGCATACAGGTACATAACTTGTCAATCCAGTTACAGATAGGTTTGAAGTAGTTTCTCCGTGCAGGTAACACAGGGCATCTTTCCTATAACCAACAACAACATGAGTTTGCTCTTACCAGTCCAAAGTCTAATGGTGTCTCGATGTTCTAAAATAGAGTCTGAGCTCAGAGCAGTCCCAGATCTGATCATGTGGTTTGCAGCCTCAAGAAACATAAAGGGAAAGCTGCATACCAAAACATACATATACAATACAGTAAACAAACAGGATCATATACAAAATAAATTAGTGCAGGCTTGAAGAAGGTTGCTATTTCCAACACTTGGATTAAAATTCAGCTTTTAGGGATAAATCAGTCTTGGCATAATGAAGAGGAGTGGTCACAGTTACTGCATAAGGATTTTGAATTTTCTTCTGCTTGTTTTCGGATTTTGTAGCTATCCATTTCACTGAGCCCTCAGTATCCACTGGGGTTTGGTTCCTGTCGATACCAATATCCATGGATGCTCAAATCCCATAATAGAAATAGCACTGCAAAATTGTCTTCATTGTATACAATAGCAAAATCAAGGTTTGTTTTTTGGATGTTTTAAAAATAGTTTCAAGCCTTTGATGGTTGAATTTGTGAATGAAAAAAATTCATAGACAAAAAGGGCTGACGATATATTGCCTGTGTTTATCATCATACTGGTTGGGCTCTTACACAATGGAGATTACACATATCTAGTGAAGAAAAAGACCAAGCATCTCTAGTTCAAACATTATGCTTACTCTGAACAACTTGATCCAGTTTACTGTTACTTTATTCTCAAAGTTTCTTTCAGAATTGGGATTCGAGATGGCGATTCTCTTTTTGAGGCTCAGTCCAAGTATTGTAATGTAGGGAACGGTAATATTGGCTTACCTCAAAGAATTGTTATGTTTCAAATAAGGATAGATAATGCACATGAAATATTCCAAAGACTCTGAAAGCACTCTGACACAATGTTAAGCTTTTGTTGTTTATTCTTTAGAAGCCTTAATCTTTTTCTTGGCCTTTTCTCTTGGAATTTCAGAGGTGTGAGCTGTGTCCCCATAAAGACGGAGCACTGAAGCGGACCGATAATGGAGGTGAGATTCCCTTTGTGGGTAGCAGTGGCAACCTGAAATTAAAACCACAGCCCAGTGAGCAAAGGCCTCCTTATCAGTTTTTTGGAATAGTTTGTAGACCTAAAAGACAACAAAGAGTATCAGCACCTTAAAGAATAATTATTTTATTTTCCATCAGCTTTTGTAGACCGAAGCCCACTTCTTTTGGCATATCCTTTTTAGGCACGGGTTATTGAAGTCCCCGGTGGTGCAGCAAGTTAAACCACTGAGCTGCTGAACTTGCTGACCGAAAGGTTGACAGTTCGAATCTGGAGAGCGGTGAAAGCTCCTGCTGTTAGCCCCAGCTTCTGCCAACCTAGCAGTTTGAAAACATGCAAATTTGAGATTAGGTACCGCTCTAGCGGGAAGGTGACGACGCTCCATGCAGTCATGCCGGCCACATGATCTAGAAAGAATCTACGAACAATGCCGGCTCTTTGGCCAAGAAATGGAGATGAGCACCACTCCCCAGAGTTGGACACAACTAGACTTAACGTCAAGGGGAAATCTTTACCTTTACTTTTTCTTGTTAATAGTTTATTATTTGGACAAAATCTCCCAGAATAATTTAGTGCCTTTTCCCAACATAGGTAATAAGGAAGATATTTTTGTGTGTGTAGAGGAACATTTCATCATCTTAGCCTACACCTGCTCTCTGAAGCATATAAATTTATTGTGTGTGTGTGTTCCTTCAGGTCGTGTGACTTATAGCAACCCCATTAATTTTATAAGGTTTTTTTAGGCAACAAATAATCAGAGGTGGTTTATTATCTTATTACCTAAAGAAAGCTCTATCTCACCTCACTGCTGCCTCCCACTGGATATTAAGGCCAACTGCTTCTCATAACTCAGATGCAAACATCTCTGTGACGTTTCACCAATGGATGTACTTAATATGTCCTTCTTCCAGGCTGGGCCCATGTCGTCTGCGCTCTGTACATCCCCGAGGTGCAGTTTGCTAATGTTCTCACCATGGAGCCTATTGTCCTCCAGTATGTTCCCCATGACCGGTTCAACAAGGTAAAAGAACCTTCTTCCTCCCTTCAGCACCTTCTGTCTTGGATTGTCAGTCCCTTCTCTCAGAAAACCGCTTTTTATTGACCTCTTGTTCCCCTGTCCTGTCATATAATATGCTTTCTACATTATGTTTTGTAGCATTTTTATTATACTTCCAATTTTTAAAAAAATATATAAATATTTTACAATTTAAAGGAATACAGCTTGACTCAGTTAACAAAACCTCTGACAAAAACACTCAATCTTACAATCTTTTTATGGCCACCCAGCTCCTTCCTTTCTTGTCTAGTAGTTCCCAACCCTTGGTCCTCCAGGTGTTTTGGACTTCAGCTTCCACAATTCTAAATACCTGATAAGGTGGCAGGGATTTCTAGGAGTTAAAAGTCCAAAACACCTGGAGGACCAAGGGTTGGAAACCACTGGTCTAGTCAATCATGCTTTAGCATTACAGTATTGCCAGTGTATCCACAGGGCATGATATATTCCTGAACTTTGTGTGGATGCACAAAAATGCAGATAATAGTGAACCTTATTGAAATGAAGGACCTCTTGCCCCAAAATACAATAGTATCATACTAGAGGACTTAGAAAATGCCTAGAGATATATATGTTTCAGACACAAATAAATGAAATTGCTGACATTGGGTCATACTGTATTAACGTTGAGCGCTGGTAAAGAACAGCTTGCGAAACACGGGCTTTTAATTTTGGGCCTGTGTATCTTCAATAAACATTTTTAAAAGTTTGAGATAGCAAAGAATGGGATTTTACTCTAGCTGATTTTACTCTAGCTGTGTGTATCTACCTGCAAGAGGCAAGGCAAACAGCAGGTGTTTCCACAATCCCTTACTGAGCATGCATGGACAGCAGAATGGTGAGAAGTTTCCCCTGGCACATTACAGAAACATAGATATATAAATTAGGTTATTACAATGGAAATCATAAGGTTGGTGAAGGAAAAAATAATCCCATGATGTACTTGTAAGAAGCTTTCAAGTGGCATCTAGCATGTTCAGAATGTTTCTGGTTAATTATGCATGGCTACCTGACCTGGTTGTTTCATTTCACATTTCCATATTGTTAGCTTTGAATAAAAGGTTTACTGAAAAATATTGGTGTGGTGTGAGAACATATCGCTGTTCTTACCATGTTATTTCTACTTCCACATTTTCTGTTTAACAAAAAATGTCCAGGAAGACATCTCCTCCTTCAGTTGAGGCATACATGTGTAAAAATAACAAATAATAGCTGGAGGGGGGCTAATAGGATTAATTAGCTGTATTGACAAGGTGATTCGCCTTTAACAAATAAATAGGAGCTATTTGAGGGGGATCATGCAATGGGATAACAACTGACTGTGATGCATATAGTTAAACTGTTGTCATTACTGCTGTTGTAGACTTGTTATATCTGTGAAGAGCAAGGCAGGGAGAGCAAAGCAGCCTCCGGAGCCTGCATGACTTGCAACCGTCACGGCTGTCGGCAAGCCTTCCATGTCACTTGGTGAGTCTATATTTTTGTCAATTTAATTGTCATTTGCTTCCTCTCCACATTATCTCCGCAAACTTTCCAATGTGTTGGTCATAGATATGTGTTTTTGGATTCAGAATCACATAATAGCATAAATTAGAAACAATGGCAACCTTATACATTCTTTGATAATTTCCGCCATCCTTCAAAGCTGTTTTCTAGCTATGTCTGACTCCTGTATTGACGTGAAGGGCCTAATCCACTGAGTTTAGGATGCACTGAAATAAGACTTATGCTGTATCCACACTGCAGAATTATAGCAGTTTGACACCACATTAACTGCTTTGGCTCAGTACTAAGGAATTCTGCTTTCTGTAATTTAGGGGGATATTTACCCTTCGCTCTCAGAAAGCACTGATCCTGCGACAAACTATTATTTATTTATTTATTTATTTAAAACGTTTATATCTTCTCAACCTGCTCAGAGGGACTCAGACTGGCTAACAGCAAGGATTCAATGCCACAATACAGTTAAAAACATCATATAATGACAATAGATTAAAATACATATAAAATAAAGTACATATAAGTTAATCAAATAGAATCATATCCAACTCAGTCTGCATATGTCAGGCTGTTGCTGGTCTCAGCCATTATTCTGGGAATGCTTCATTCCATAGCCAGGATTTCACTAGCTTCCTGAAGGTCAGGAGGGAGGGGGCAGCTCTAATCTCATTTGGGAGAGAGTTCCATAGCTGAGGGGCCACCACAGAAAAGGCCCTGTCTCTCGTCCCCACCAGACACGATTGCGAAAGTGGTGGGACCGAGAGTAGGGCCTCTCCAGAAGATCTTAACAGGCTTGATGGTTCATAGGGAAGAATACGTTTGGACAGGTAAACTGGGCCAGAGCCGTATAAGGTTTTGTAGGTTAAGACCAGCACTTTGAATTGTGCTCAGAAGCTAATTGGCAGCCAATGGAGCTGGCGCAACAGGGGAGTTGTGCGCTGCTGGTACCCAGCTCCTGTCAATAGCCTGGCTGCTGAGCATTGGACTAATTGCAGCTTCCGAGCAGTCTTCAGAGGCAACCCCACGTAGAGAGCCCTGCAGTAGTCTATACGGGACGTTACCAGAGCGTGGACCACCATGGCCAAGTCAGACTTCCCAAACTACAAATCCCAGGATGCCATAGCCTTCAGGCATGGCACTTAAGGCAGTGTGAAGCTACATTAATTTTACAGTATACAGGCACCCTTGGGTCTTGTCTAAAGTAGCACAGTAATTCAGCTCTATTGTGCATTATCTTGCACTGCTAGTGTCACATGCAAACATTATGATCTGAACCCAATGAGGAGGATGACAGCTACACATTTCCCACAACAGAAGTTGTTGTATCTTCATTTGTTTACTCCCAGTGTACATGTCCACATCTTTCAACTAATAGCCTTTGTTGTTTCCCCCTTGATCTTATAACCTGCCTTGCACTCCTATTTAGATGCCTTCAATGCAACAATTCCTCACGCCTCTCTCCTCCTACCACAGAGTTCCTTCCCATATGGCTCCATTCCTGGGAGGAAATAGATCAAGCATCTTTCACTGCTTGCTAATTCTGTCCTACATATTACTGCTTCACTTTCCTGTTCCCGTTTTCTTCTAGAAATTACGTCTTCCTTTTACTGCTTTCTATATGCTTCATGGAAACCCCAAATTCCCATGCCAGGGTCGTTTGCCAAGCATCCAACTCTCAGTCAGTAGTGAAGTAGAACAGGCAGCAAGGGATCGAATCATCTTCTGGTAGAGGACAGGACTAAATAGGAAGGGGGGAACACCCTGTTTCCTCTGGAGAGGAAGAACCTTTCCATCTTTTGTAACTGCCTTATGAAGAATATCAAGGTAGCTCTTTGGAAATAAGTTGTAGCCGTAGCAAGTCCCAAAATTGTACTTTAGGTCAGGGGTGGGCAAATTCTAGGGCTCAGGAATGACCTACTTGGGCGCCTCTGGGGACTAACCTCCGCATTTTAAATTTACCATGTGAACGAAATTTCCCCTCCCCATAAGTGAGGTGCACAGGTTCAAGGAGGAGATTGTTCAGAGTTTTGAAGTTCGATGCCATCTGTATGCAGATGACGTCCAGCTCTATCACCCCCTTTCACCTGCTAAGGGGGCTGTCCAGGTCCTGAACCAGTGCTAGGCAACTGTGATGATCTGGATGGGGTATACAAATTGAATCCAAGCAGGACAGAGGTCCTCCTGGTCACTCAAAAGGCCAAATAGGGTATAGGGTTACAGCCTGTGCTGGATAAGGTCACACTCCCCCTGAAGTCATAGGTTCGCAGCTTGGGAATTCTCCTAGATTCCTCACTAAGCCTGGAACCCCAGGTCTCAGCGATGGCCAGGGGAGCTTTTGCACAATTAAAGCTTGTAACGCCAGACTTGGCCATGATGGTCCATGCTCTTGTCACATCTTGAATAGACAACTGCAATGTTGCTCTACATGGGATTGCCTTTGAAGAGTGTTCGGATGCTTCAAGTAGTCCAATAGGGCAGCAGCCAGGTTCTTCACTGGAGCAGCTTACAGGGAGCATACAACCCCCAAGTTACGTCAACTCCACTGGCTGCCAGTCTGCTACTCAGCACAATTCAAAGCGCTGGCTTTAGCCTATCAAACCCTAAACAGTTTTGGCCCAGCTTACCTTTCCGAACGTATCTCCCTTTACAAACAAGTTAGAGCAGGGGTCCTCAAACTAAGGCCCAGGGGCCGGATACGGCCCTTCAGGTCATTTACCCGGCCCTCGCTCAAGGTCAACCTAAGTCTGAAGAGGCTTGAAAGCACACAACAATAACAACAACAACAATCCTATCTCATCAGCCAAAAGCAGGCCCACACTTCCCACTGAAATACTAATAAGTTTATATTTGTTAAAATTGTTCTTCATGTTAATTATTGTATTGTTTTAAAGTGTTTTTTGCACTACAAATAAGATATGTGCAGTGTGCATAGGAATTCATTCATATTTTTTTCAAATTATAATCCAGCCCTCCAACAGTTTGAGGGACTGTGACCTGACCCTCTGTTTAAAAAGTTTGAGGACCTTTGAGTTAGAGCATTAAGATCTGCAGGGGAGGTCCTACTCTTGGTCCCACCACCTTTGCAGGTGTGGCTGGTGGAGACGAGGGACATGGCCTTCTTGGTGGTGGCCCCTCAGCTGTGGAACTCCCTCCCCAGTGAGGTTAGATTGGTACCCTCCCTCCTGGTGTTCAGAAAAAAAACTTGGCTTTGTAAGCAGGATTTGGCGAGTGACAGGATTGCAGTATAACACATCACGATATTGCTAAAGCATTTAAATGATGACTATGGGATTGGTGCAATGTTCAATATGTTTTATGATGTTTACATGAACAAGGCATAATGTTTTAATGATTTTAATATTTATTTATTTATTTATTTATTTGCTTCATTTTTATACCGCATTTTTCAGCCCTTAGCAGGCGACTCAATGCGGTTTACAGTGCAATTAAAACACGACAGTACAACAACAGGATCGGCGACGTTGATCCACAACAATTAACAATCAGACAGGACAAATCAACAAACAACATACATAGCGTCTCAATAATTTATATGTTAATTATTCAGTTTGCCAAACTGTAAGCTACTCCGAGACCCCTTTGGCGTGAAATAGATCGGGATACAAATATAATAAATAATAATAAAATAAAGGATATATTTTTAATTATCTTTAACGCTTAACTTAATCAAGTTTTAATTGTGTTTTAATGTATGTTCACTATTACAGGAGTTTTAGGACAGTGATTAGTGTCTATTTGTGTATTTTCTTGTTTTTGTCTTGATACGGTCAGTGGACTAATCAATAAACTTTACTATATTAATAAAATAAAGAAGGGTGGTTCAAGGAGTGAGATTGCCAATTGTTTTCCCCTAAGGCTGAGAGAGTATGTCTTGTTCAAGGTTGTTTAGTAGGTTGCTATGGCGGAACAGGATTTCGAACCTTGGTCTCTTGAGTCATAATCCAATGCTCAAACCATTAAATCATGCTGGCGCTCATTCAAGGTGCCTTACACCCATTTAAAACAAAGTACAGCTAAAAACCATTAAAGCAACAATCAGAAGACAGTTAAATCACAACTCAATTTAAAAATACATTAAAACATAATAAAGCACAAATACAACATGCACACCCTTAAGAATTAAAACCAAAGGCCTGTATAAATGAGAAGGCCTTTGCCATGCTGGTGGAAAGACAACAAGGAGGAGGTCAACTAAGCCTTCTATGGAGGCAAGTTTCACAGCCATTATTCTTACCAAAGGAGTACTGGTAGCTAGTTTGGAAGGTAGGTGTTTTCTTTAAAGAAAAGAAAGACTGCTTTCAATGTATTTGACATGGAGGTCATGATCAACACTCCATGGATCTACAGTTTCCATTTACCAGTGAAGGTGAACAATTGCCTGGGGGTAGCAAAGAAGGTCTGTTAATTATTTTCCATTTAATTCATGGCTGTATTGTATAACCATTTCAGGACTGGTGAGTCAGCATACTAGAAAAAGTACCAGAATAGATTATCTCTCTTGCTTACATTTTTGGAAATAAAAATAGTACAAAAAGCTGACAATAGAACAGAGGCAACAGATATATGTGCGTGTTAGTAATAGAGAAACCTGGTTCTATCATTCGCCTTTGGGGTTCAGGTCATAACAACTCATTTCTAATTTTTAGTGCTCAGATGGCTGGGCTCCTGTGTGAAGAAGAGGTCTTAGAAGTCGACAATGTGAAATACTGTGGATACTGCAAATACCACTTCAATAAAATGGTGAGTCACCGCCCTTATGTTACTACCAAAAGCACAGATCATTTGAGTTTAAGAAATATATAAATACTTGAATTTCATACCAAAACCCAGCATGCAAGATACACAACACCACAGTAATAAAATGTATGGGCTGGAATCCTAACATCTACTGATCCAAGCCCAGAAAACCAGCCAGTTAAGGATACCTCCTGTTTTGCGTGTGTGTGGGTGGGTGGGTGGGTGAGGCACAACTTGAGAAACTGCAAGTCACTTCTGGTGTGAGAGAATTGGCCGTCTGCAAGGACGTTGACCAGGAGATGCCCAGATGTTTTAATGTTTTACCATCCTTGTGAGAGGCTCCTCTCATGTCCCCGCATGGGGAGCTGGAGCTGACAGAGGGAGCTCCTCCTGGTAACAAGTGACGATATAACAGGGTTATGATAGGGCCCTAAAGGGTCCATACTTTATATAAATATAAATATAATAATAATAATATAAATAAAATATAAAATTTAAACAGAGGCTGGATGGCCATCTGTCAGGGGTGATTTGAATGCAATATTCCTGCTTCTTGGCAGCGGGTTGGACTGGATGGCCCATGAGGTCTCTTCCAACTCTTTGATTCTATGATTCTGTGATTCTAAATCAAGTAATAAATACTTTATATAAATACTTGAATTTCATACCAAAACCCAGCATGCAAGATACACAACACCACAGTAATAAAATGTATAGGAGCATAGTGTCTAGATCTAGGGAAGTCATGCTACCCCTCTCAACAAAAGATTGCCCCAGGCAATGCTAATCAGGGTGGTCAGTTGAAACATTCACACCTAGCTCCAGCAGACAATAGTTCTTTGTCCCACCCTGGTCATTCCACAGATATATAAACCCATTTTCCTAGTTCCAACAGACCTCACTACCTCTGAGGATGCTTGCCATAGATGCATGCGAAACGTCAGGAGAGAATGCCTCTAGAACATGGCCATATAGCCCGAAAAAACCTACAACAACCCACTATTGTTGAACTGCTTCCCTTGCCATACTTCACCATTGTATGATTTGAGCAGATTAGAATTGCTGTTCAACAACACTGGAGGGGGCAGAGTCCCTTAGCCTTTAGCTTGCTTCCTATGCAAAGGAAACCAGGTGGATTCAACAATATGCGACTAGATAGGACCTCAAGAAGCTGTCTTACACCAAATCAACCATTTGTCCAACTGGTAATTCAGTATTGCTTCTATTAATTGCTGATGGCTTTCTAATTTTTTCAGACAGAAGTCCCACAATGGTCTTTCTACAGCAGGTGTCCTCAAACTTTTTAAACAGAGGGCCAGGTCACAGTCCCTCAAACTGTTGGAGGGCCGGATTATAATTTGGAAAAAAAAAGAATGAATTCCTATGTACACTGCACATATCTTATTTGTAGTTCAAAAACCACTTAAAAACAATACAATAATTAAAATGAAGAACAATTTCAACAAATATAAACTTATTAGTATTTCAATGAAAAGTATGGGCCTCCTTTTGGCTGATGAGATAGGATTGTTGTTGTTGTTGTGTGCTTTCAAGTCGTTGAGCAAGGGCCGGGTAAATGGCCTTGTAGGGCCATATCTGGCCCCCGGCCTTAGTTTGAGGACCCCTGTAGTTTCGGTCTGGGAATGATACACCTTGCAGTTTGCATACAAATCATATACTGTAGGTTTTGGCTCTTCCCCATTAATCAGTGATGGATCAGTACATTGATTTTACTCCCCAAGAAAGGCAATAGCTGTAATGATGATGATTCTTTGTATGTTACAGATGGAATGGTGTGGTGTGTGTTTCCAAGCTAGATTCAGGGCAAGTTGGCAAGAAGCTCAACACTATCTGGAAGTCATGAGTGGTTATCGCTCTTGTCACTTAGAATGATTAAGAATGCCAGCCAACTCCCCAAAGGCAAACCGGAGAGCTCCACGCCTTGCCTTCCATTATTCTTAATCATGTATTTTTCTTTGCCCATCACCTGAAATCAAGTTTGGCAATTCCCCAAACACAGATATTTATTTCTAGTAGTTGGAAAGAGACAAGAGGGCTATGATAAGATGGTTTTATCATTTGTGAGCATTAAGAAACGTTTATATAACAATGAACAAATTTGCTTTTACCATTCCTTAGCTTGTTTGCCTTCCTGGCAACCTAGTGTGATAGGTAAGGAAGAGAGTTGCCCTTGCTCAGCTTCAGGGCAATATTCAAGGCAAGCTGGGAGAGGGAGCAAAAGGAGCAGTGGCCCCCAAGATTGGCCTCATGTAAGCCACACCGAGTTCCTTGGGGAGATGGTAGCGGGGTACAAATAAATTATTATTATTATTATTATTATTATTATTATTATTATTATTATTATTAAGGATGTACAGAGTGCCCTTTCATTCGCCATCAGTTAAGGCAACATATCCTATAACATTTCAAAAATGAAAACTGGGACACATATGGTTAAGCAACAGAAGATGGCAGAAAGTATGAATGAGGAAAAACAGACAAGTTGGGAGAGGCTACAGCAGTTTGTTTTTGCAAAGCCTACTGGAAAGTGCAATATTTGGCCTCCCTCTTCTGTCTACCCACTGAGTTAAGTGCAAACAAGCTTTACACTTTGCACTCAGTTTGCAGTAACTGAAGGAAAGTGAGGATTAAGAGTAATAGTGGAATTGGAAGAGAGAAACTGGGACCCTTTTTTAAAAAGCTGAAAAAGCAGCAGATTAAACCAAACTACTGCTGCCAAATTGGGATGGTTGGAAGACACGATGCAAAGATCTTTATTTCACATATTGATTGTGGCAGGAAATCCAAATGTCAGCTCCTATGAAAAAATGAGGGGATAAATCATTTTTGGGCTACAATTCCATGGATCCCTCAGCCAACATGGAGTCTAGAAATAATAATAATAATAATAATAATAATAATAATAATAATAATAATAATATCTGTAAAGGTTTTCCCTTGACACTAACTCTAGTCGTGCCCAGCTCTGGGGGGTGGTGCTCATCTCCATTTCTAAGCTGAAGAGCCAGCATTGTCCATAGATGCCTTCAAGGTCATGTGGCCAGCATGATTGCATGGAAAAGCGGTACCTATTGATCTAGTCACATATGCATGTTTTCGAACTGCTAGGTTGGCAGGAGCTGGGGCTATCAACAATAAAAAAAATTGTTGTTGTAGAAGTATTTTCTCCTGACGTTTCGCCTGCATCTATGGCAGGCATCCTCAGAGGTTGTGAGGTCTGTTGGAAACTAGGAAAATGGAATTTATGTATCTCTGGAAAGTCCAAGGTGAGAGAAAGAACTCTTGTCTGTTGGAGCTAGGTGTGAATGTTTCAATTGGCCACCCTAATTAGCATTTGATGGCCTGAAAGTTTTTTTGGTGTGGCTTGTTACTGCCTGCGGGAATCCTTTGTTGAAAGGTGATTAGCTGTTCCTGATTGTTTCTTGTCTGGAGTTCCCCTGTGTTTGAGTTTTGTTCTTTATTTACTGTATAATTTTAGAGGTTTTTTTAATACTGATAAGCCAGATTTTATTCATTTTCATGGTTTCTTCCTTTCTGTTGAAATTGTCCAGATGCTTGTGGATTTCAATGGCTTCTCTGACATGGTAGTTGTTAGAGCGGTCCAGCATTTCTGTATTCTCAAATACTATGCTATGTCCAGATTGTTTCTGCAGTGCCTTTATGTTCCTTGATTCATGTTTGGGCAATGCTGCGTTTGATGGTCCCTACGTAGACTTGTCTACAGCTGCATGGTATTCGGTAGACTCCTACGGAGGTGAGAGGATCCCTCTTGTTCTTTGCTGAATGTAGCATTTGTTGGATTTTCATAGTGGGTCTGTAGATAGTTTGTAGGTTGTGTTTCCTCATCAGCTTCTCTATGCGGCCAGTGGTTCCCTTGATGTATGGCAAAAACACTTTTCCTCTTAAAAGTCCTGGCAGACCAAGCAAAAAAGAATGTGAACCCCACCTTCTCCAAGACGAATGGAACCACACAAACTGGACTTTACAGGCCAATGGATATACCACCACAGACATCAGAAGAACTGCAAGATCAAGAACAAGCCAAGAGAGTAAAGACAAAGATCCACCTAAAGGAAAAGTGTTTCACATAGAAGCCATCCTACAATTTCCCACATGAAGCCCACCAGCTGGGCATGAAAGCTGTTGCACTTTCTATGTCATGTTCCCGAGTGACTAATATAGGGTTCATCTACATTATAGAACTCATGAAGTTTGACACTTTAGCTGCAATGGGTCAATGGGATTCTAGGATTTGTAGTTTGGTGAGACTAAAGATCACATAAAACTACAAAACCCAGAATTCCATAGCATTGAGCCATGGCAGTTAAAGTGGCATCAATTCTACAGTGTGTCTACTCCTAAGACACAGATCCTGCTTAGCAAGATTTTGATGTCTCCTGAACTTAGATAAGTTACTTTTTGCTACTAGAACTTCTAGGACACCACCTCCCCATTTCTGTACTCCAGAGTAAAATTTTCAAGCTCGGCTTTTCTTTCTAAACCAAAATGTCAAGATCTTATAAGGCAAGTTTCTTCCTGATTGCTTTATTTTTCTCTTCTGTATCTTTCCAATCCCTTCATGCTCATCCATCATTTTCTCTGACCTCCCCCTTGGGTCCAGAAGACGTCACGCCATCCTGGAAGTGGCCCTTTCAATACAGTAAGGAGGAGCCGGTCACCGTCACCTGCTCAAGAGAAGCACGTGCCCCACCATGAGAAACCAAAGAAGGTAAATAATAAGAGTGATAATAACAAGATAATGTTGACACTTATGATGGTGGTGTTGCTGCTGCCACCAATGATGATCATGTGATTCAGTGTTGATTTATATACTAAGTATTTATTTATGTACCCATAACAAAGGAAACCAAAAACCTGTATTCTGTTACAGATTGAGTATCCCTTTCCTAGAAATCCAAAATTTGAAATTATCCACATAGGTGACTGAGATAATGATACCTTTGCTTTCTGATCTTTCAATGTGGGCAAACTTTGTTTCATGCATTAAAATTTTGAAACACTGCGTATAGAATTGTCTTCAGGCTAGATGTTTAAGGTGTATATAAAACATACACGAATTTCATGTTTAGCCTTGAGTTTCCTCTCCAAGATATCTCATTATGGATATGCAAGTATTCTGAAATAAAAAGAAATCCAAAATATAGAACATTCTTGGGCTCAACTATTTTGGATAAGGGATGCTCAACCTGTATTTCTTATTCTGCATGTGCTGGAATTACTATTTCATTTGGAATCCAGCATTTAGATAATGTCAGCTTTTTCCTGAAATGCCTGGATATGTCCAGTTTAGAACAAATATAATTCATTTAATTTTGACATAAGCATTATATATGTATCAGTGTGCCTTTATGCGTAAATAATAATAATAATTGTCATCATCATCATCTTTATTTAAAGACCGCCCTATCTCCCCAGGGGGACTCAGGGTGGTTTCCAACACATATGGCAAACATTCAATGCCAGGAAAAAGACATAACAAATTGCATCACAACAATGCATATCAAATAAAATAGATCAGTCATTACAATAAACTTAATACCAAATAGAAATTAACAAAAATAAAACAAACAAACTTGACAACACTAGCAAACATAATCACATAAAATGAATTTAAACAGACTAAAATTTAAAACAACTAGATAATGCACTTGAAAAAACTCTGGAGTAGCCTCCTTGGAATGGCAGCATCTGCTTACATATAGGTTAGGTCTATGAAATGAGGACCAGACAGAGATTTCTTGCCTCCAGCGTTAGCTCATAACTGTTGGAAACCTGAATGGAGGATGGATGGAACCATTTGGGTCTTCCAGAAGTCCAAGGTAAGGAGGAAAGTAAGGCAAATGGAATCAATCTGTTAGATGAGGTAGAGACAGACAAAATAGCATAGTGCATAGGGTACAACCCCTGTGTCTACACTTAACCATTGTCAAAAGACCAGGCAGCAGGAGATATATTCTCAAACTTTGCATGGATGTGTTGTCAAAGGCTTTCATGGCCAGAATCACTGGGTTGTTGTGAGTTTTCTGGGTTATACAGCCATATTCTAGAAGCATTCTCTCTTGACGTTTCACCGACATCTATGGCAGGCATCCTCAGAGGTTGTGAGACCTCAGGAGAGAATGCTTCTGGAACATGGCCACACAGCCGAGAAAACTCACAGCAACCCTTTGCATGGGTGCATGAAACCATGGATGAAACTACAGCCCCTATTGTTTTCATTAGTACAAATTACTGAAGAGGGTGTAACTGTAGCTTGTTCAGGATGCTCTAAATCAGTTCAGGATGCTCTAAATCAAAAATATGGTCTCAACCTGTGGGTCCCCAGGTATTTTGGCCTACAGCTCCCAAAAATCCCAGCCAGTTTACCAGCTGTTGGGATTTCTGGGAGTTTAAAACCAAAAAACCTGGGGACCCACAGGTTGAGAACCACTGCCCTAAGAGAACAAATGAGTTAGTGAAACTATATATATTGGTTCTATGGATAGAAGGGTCATACTGTACCATATTCGTTCATTCAGGCATTATCCAAGGTCTTGATGTGACACCATTGTAGAAAGAACTCCAGAGACAGAAGAGGAAAAGGATTGTAACAAAGCAATAACAGCAGACTTTACTTGTGTTTTTGATAATGATGACAGTGATGCTCATATTGAGAGACTGGATCATTTTGATATGTAGCTACCAGACATCAAGAGCCTAATTTCTATCTCCCCCACAATCCTGCTTCTCTTTCATACACATGTGTGTATCATTAATATATGTAAGTGCCCCTCAGTAATCGTTTCAAGCCAAGAAGAGACCCATAAAACTGCCAAGCTATGGAGGACCTTGTCCATTTCACTTGAATTTTTCCTTTAATTTTTTTCTCTGTATGCGTATGTCACCCTGTTTTTCCCTCTTTCAATCACATTGGCTTAAGATGCCATGTAAATGACAGGCACTCTCCTCCTTTATCTGGAGAGAAGATACGGAAGGAGGTCAGTAAAACTGACAAAACTTGTCATTTCATTGGCCTTCTCCTGAGAGGAAAGGTAGAGTAAAGAGTGTACACACATGATGAAAGTTCCTACAGTTCTCCCTTCTGTGTATCTCAGAACCATCAGTGAAGCCACGTGAAATGCATGAGCTTTGGCAGTTTCCCAGAGTTCTTCTGCACCGCTATTTGGGGATGAGGGATGTTGTAAAATGTATCCCTTCACAAAAAAAACTAGTGGTGTAACCAGAGAAAGAATATCATTGAAGATGAAATGGAAGAAATACACAACCATCAAGAATGTCTCATCACCATTTTAAGTGAGACAATAATACAAAACTCAAATCGCACCTGAAAGTATTTTGCTGCAATTGCTGTAGGATTTTTTTTCCAAAGCAGTTTGAAACAAATGAGACAAGATGAGAATGCAAGGGTTTGGGATGAATAAGTGAGTACCCATATCACTGAAAATTGCTACTTTGAAAAAATCCTCTCCTTCCTTTATGAAAATCCAGACACAAAATGAATTAAACGACCTGAAGACTGAAAATGCAATCCAACGCGCATTTACTAGCAAGTGGATCCCATTTAGTACAGTACAATATATTTCTGATGTTGGCTTAAATAACCTGAAGTGACCAAATCTCATCTGATCTTGGAAGCCTTTGTTAGTACTTGGACGAAAGACTGCCTAGTAAATGTATTGGACGAGGGACTAAATTTCAGAAGAAGGGAATGGCAAATCATGTCTGAATATTCGTTGCATTAAAAAACCTTAAGAAATCTATATGGTTGTCATGAGTTGACAGACAATGTAAAGGTGCAGACACAGATACACATAGTGTACTTCCAAGTATCCATGCTTTAGATTGCACCATGCATATTGAACAAAGACGAGGGGAATCATTCTCCCTAATTTGGTCCACAAGGACAAAAATATGGTCCGCAGCCTCACCATTATTACACTGTATTTGAGAAATCAGGAATAAGGTTTAATCTAATTTTCATCTCTAGATCCATTTTCTGTGTCGCTGAATATGTAAATGGAATACTTAAGATTTTCTAATGCATTGCTGAAGAAGAACCATCTCAGCCCCTATTAATAGTAAGATCAGATGCGGCTGTTCCTGTTGTTCAATCACATAGAGAATTAATCTATAATGTATTTTATTCTATAATGTATTTTATTTTATACAACAGAATTAATTTATAATGTATTTTATTCTGTTTTACTTATCTTTTGCTGAAGCATAGATATTGTGGTTTGGAATAGTGCCACTGATGCAACCTGACCTGGAAACTGTTTTTAAGTGACAGAGGTGAAACTTGAGCAGTAGTAATATTGGAGAAGAGCATGTGCAGAGTGCTCTAAGAATAGCAACATCTCCTGCCATTCACCTGGTATTGGAGTAGAGTTTCCAAGGAAGAGGATATGAGTTGTTGGCCTGATTTGAACCTGCCCACCACATAGCATCTCAGTTTTGGGAAATCTACCCTTGACTGGAACAGAACCTGTTTCAGTGCCAATAACAATGCAAACTTGGGGAAGGCTTACCTCTCCAGCAAAAAAAACTCTGTCCAGAGCTCTACAACCCAGAAGTACATATGGTTATTACTTCTGCTAAACTGAGAAGGGCTGACTTGTTTGAAGCCCTGCTTCCCGGCTCACTTGCAACTGTATTGGCTGCTGGCAAGCAGTCGCTGCAATTTCCTCATATATACAGCAGGCCTTTAATGCAGCCCAGACCAGCTTGGCTTTGGCGTGCTTCTAAAGGCAGCCCCTGCCAAGGAAAGTGGTGGAAACAGGAAAACGGAAAGAGAAGCAAAGAGGAGATCAGCACAAGGTAAATCGTGGTAATGGAAGAAAAGGATTTCTATGTGACATGAGCCAAAAGGACAGGGAGGGAGGAAACCAGGATGATTCGCAGATGATTTGGAGAGCAGCTGACATAGTAACTTGGCTTTGAAAGGAAGATTCTATATTTGAATGGATTTAGCTGGGGAGGTGACAGGAAGTAGATGCAAAATGCTTTGGTTCTTTTCATCTGTTAGTGTGCAAACCTGAGGCCCATTTGCCCCTCACCAACATGAAGACCGCTCACAAACTAGGACTGTCAATCAGAAATTGGACATCAACTTTGAGATTGCCCATGAACAGGAGGATAAAAGGCTTTTATGTTCTTTCCTCTCCCTTGTCTGTGCTCTGTTTTCACATTGGCAAATTCACACATTTAAGAAATATGCTCAGAAAGTTGTGCACATCTCATGTGAGCACAAAACCTTGTTTAAATGCATTTCAGGCAATGGAGGAGATGTGTTCAAACAATGTGTAACACTGAAAAGCTGAATAAACACATGTATGTATGAAAAAAATGTAAGAAAGGCATAGACTAGGAGTCCTCAAACTTTTTAAAAGGAGGACCAGGTCACAGTCCCTCAAACTGTTGAAGGGCCAGATTATAATTTGGAAAAAAACCCAATGAATTCATTCCTATGCACACTGCACATATTTTATTTGTAGTGCAAAAAACACTTAAACAATACAACAATTAAAATGAAGAACAATTTTAACAAGTATAAACTTATTAGTATTTCAATGGGAAGTGTGGGCCTGCTTTTAGGTGATGAGATGGGATTGTTGTTGTTGTGTGCTTTCAAGTCATTTCAGACTTAGGTTGACCCTGAGCAAGGGCCGGGTAAATGACCTTGGAGGGCCGTATTCGGCCCTCGGGCCT